CTGGAAAGGATGTTTCCAGGGAGCCCCTTCCCTGGCCATTATTCATGACTGGTGTGATTGTGTGTATAAAAACCCAAATGGATCTGCAGGAAAATATTAGAATTCATAAGAGAGTTTAGTAATGTTGCCTGACACAAAATTAACATAAAAGTCAATTATATTTCTTTGTACCAGCAAACGATTGGAAAATAGGATTTTAAAAATGATTCCAGTTATGATGACATGAAAATTTGATGTAGGAATAAAGCCAAAAAAAGATCTCCTTGTATTCTATTCCACTGATCAATTTGTCTACCTCTGCCCCCAAACTACACTCTCTTAATACAGTAGCTTTGAGTGAGTCTTGATAGCTGGTAGGTCAAGTCCTCCAACTTTGTGATTCTTCCTACAGACGTTTTTAGATATTCTTGGCCCTTTTCACGTACATATACATCTTAGAATCAGCTTGCCAAGATCCACATAAAAACCTACTGTGTTTTTATTGGAAATAAATTGAATCTAAAGAGCAATATAAAGAAAGTTAACATATTTACCATGGGTCTTCCTGTCCACAGTTATGGTATATCCCTCCATTTTATTTACCTCTTATTTAATAGCTCTGAACACGAGTTTCATTTTCATGGGGGTCTTACACATATTTTTGTTCAGTTTGTTCTTATCTACTTCATATTTTTACGGTAGCCAACATGGAATTATTTTTAAAATTTCATTTTCCAATTGTTTGCAAGTACTTAAATAAAATTTACTTTTATGCTAATATGGTATTAAGCAATATTACTAAACTCTCTTTTTATTCTGATGTTTGCCTGTAGGTTCTTTTGGATTTTTTACATATATAATCATATCGTTTATGAATAATGACAGTTCTTTTCTTCTTAATACACGTCTTCTATTTCTTTTCCTTATCATATTGCTTAGTACTTCCAGTGCAGTTTGTTTGTTTGTTTTTGGGTGGCTGCATTGGGTCTTCGTTGCTGCACGCGGGCTTGCTCTAGTTTAAGCGAGCGGGGGCTACTCTTCGTTGCAGTGCACGGGCTTCTCATTGCGGTGGCTTCTCTTATTGTGGGGCACAGACTTTAGGCATGTGGGCTTCAGTAGTTGCAGCACACGGGCTCAGTAGTTGTGGCTTGTGGGCTCTAGAGCACAGGGTCAGTAGTTGTGGCACACGGGCTTAGTTGCTCCATGGCACGTGGGATCTTCCTGGACCAGGGCTTGAACCCGTGTCCCCTGCATTGGCAGGCAGATTCTTAACCACTGCACCACCAGGGAAGTCCCTCCAATGCAGTTTTTGTTAGAAGTCCTAATTATTATTTCTGATGTCAAACAGAAAACTTTCAACATTCACCATCAAGGATGACATTAACTCAAAGTTTCTTATAGACACACTTAATCAGATTAATGAAGATACTTCTGTTCCCAGTGTATGAAAGTTTTTTTGTGAATGTGTGTTGGATTTTACCATATACCTTTTTTCTAAATCTACTGAGATGATCATAAAATATTTTTCTTTTCTTCTGCTAAAATGGTGAATTATATAGATTGGTGTTTAAATGCTAAAACAAGCCTGCATTCCTGGAATGCAACCCAACCTGGTCACGATATATTATCTTTTTAGCAGATTGCTAAATTCTATTTGCTCATGATTTCTTTGGGATTTTTTCATCATTTGTGTTCATAAATGAGATGGGCATGTAATTTTACTTTCTCAGAGTGTTCTTGTTGGTTTTAGATATCAGTGTTATACTAGACTCACAAAATGATTAAAGGAGTGGTTCCTCTGATGTGTCAAACTTGAACATGTCCAAAGCTGAACCACTGATCTTCCAGCCAAAACACGCTGCGCTCCTGAGTAAGCGTAATTCCATCCTTCCTGCTACTCAAACCACCATCAGAAAATCCTGTTGGTGCCACCTTCAAAATATGTCTATAATGACCACTTTGTACCACTCCCAGTGTTCCACTCTGGCCCAAGTCATAGCCCTCTCACTCCTGGATTATTGCTGTAATTCCCCCAACCCCCTAGAGCAGGGGTTGGCAAACTTTTTCTGTAAAAGGCCCGATAATAAGTATTTTCGACTTTACAGGCCACACAGTTTCTGCTGCAACTCTACAATTCTGCTGCAGTGCAGAAGCAGCCAGAGACAATACATAATAAATGGGCACGGCCCAATTTTGCTGTAGTTTGCCAACTCCTCCCTCTAGGGTAGGCTATTCGTAACACTGATGACAGTAATCCTTTTTTTTCCCTATAAATTTATTTATTTTATTTATTTGTTTTTGGCTGCGTTATGTCTTCGTTGCTGTGCACGGGCTCTCTCTAGTTGTGGTAAGCGGGGGCTACTCTTCGTTGTGGTTCATGGACTTCTCGTTGTGGTGGCTTCTCTTGTTGTGGAGCACGGGCTCTAGGCGTGCGGGTTTCAGTAGTTGTGGCTCGCAGGCTCTAGAGCGCAGGCTCAGTAGTTGTGGCGCATGGGCTTAGTTGCTCCGTGGCATGTGGGATCTCCAGACCAGGGCTCAAACCCGTGTCCCCTGCATTGGCAGGCGGATTCTTAACCACTGCGCCCCTCCCCCCCCAACAATAATCCTTTTAAAATGTAAATCAGATCATGTCAGTCATCCATTGAAAACTCTCCAGTGACTTCCCATCTCATCCAGAGTTAAAGACAGAATCCTTACAATGTCCTACAAGGCTCTGATCTAGCTCCATTACCTCTTTTACTTTAATCTCTCTCTCTCCCTCCCTCTCCCCTGCTCTTCTCCCCACCTCCCTCTGAGCTCCTTTGCCATTTCTAGAACAGGCTTGCCCCACCTCAGGGTATTTGCACTGCTGTTACTCCTGTCATAATGGCTATCCCTCCAGCTATCCACCTGGCTAACTCAACCCTTTTAAGTCTTTGATCAGATGTCACTTCTTAACAGGGCCTTTTTTGGACATCCTATTTGAATGTCAGTCTTCCATCCCCTCCCCTGACACCTTCCATCCTCTTTACTCAGGCCTATATTTTCCATAGCACTAAACCTTCTGACACACTCTATAACTAATTTTTTAAATATGTTGATTGTCTGTATTTTCCCCTACTAGAAGTAAGCTCAGCGAAGTCAGGGCTTTAGTCTATTTTGTTTCCTGCTCTATCCCGAACGACTAGAACATTATGTCTTAGAGTAGGCACTCAGTAAACATTTATTAGATGTATGATGGATGGATGGATGGATGGATGGATGGATGAATCAAAGAAATGCCATAGACTAGAATTTCCTGGAGTGTACACCTTGGAACACTAGTTCTACAAAGCAGAATAATACTAATAGTTGGAATCCAGGTGACAAAATTCTGCTCACTATTGAACTCCTCAGTAGAATTAAGTGTCTCACCAAGTCATGGGCAGTATTTCACAGGAAGTATTCGAGCACAGCCTAGAAGCTAATGATTGAATTCCAAAAATGTGCAAGTTATTCTTACAGTGGGTTGGAGACTGGGTGCTATGTTCCCTACAGTGCCCCAAACACAGGCCATCCCAAGACTCTGTGATACGTCCCCAGCTGTTTATTAAAACGATAATATCATTTATTTAATTTGTGACAAGCACTTGTGTATTGCTAAAACAGGTAATTTTCAAGAGCGTATGCCAATGTCATGTGAAGCCAGTATTATTTTCAGTCTTGAAATTTTCTCCTTGGTGAAAAACTGGAGACCCTAGTAGAAATTATTGGCCAAAGAGCCAGAATGTTTGTGCATCATGAAATATTTGTATCTTGGCTAAAAAAAAAAAAAGTTACTCTTCAAAGAAGAGGGAGCAGTTAAATCCTAACACAAATTCCTAGGTGAGATACTGCAGCTCATGGGACCTGTCTTTTACATGAAATCTTTTTATTTTTTACTAATGCTGTTTATGTTTCCCATTTTTGCCTTGGATTTTTGTTCTGTGAAAGAATACAAAAGATGTCATCGCCTTTTTTTCCTTTTTTTTTTTAAACCAAACGTTACTTGTTAGGGACTAAGTATGCATACCTAGTTACTTGACCATGTGAGTGAATGTCCTTAAACATATTGATTACTCTGCTACTTCCAGATATTGTGCTTAGGGGTTCAAAAGAGACATAAGCAAATATAGAGAGAGAGTCCTACACATTTTTATAAAATTACACTCCTCAGATTCCACACTGCGGAGAAGGGAGTAGTAAGGTAAAAGTGAGGGCAGGAAATCTTGGCTTTTGCATTTGCACGCACACACTTCATAATATATTGACTTGCCATTAATAGTACAGATGTAGTGCTCTGAAGTTAAAGCATGTCTCTTTCCAAATTAATAAATCTTTACCCATTAACTAAAATTCTTACAGAAAAAAAAATACTGTATACGGTCAGTATGAGGATTTTGCTTTCCTTCTTAGGCTATTTTCATTTGTTTCTTCTGCATCCTTTTAATGGAATGTGTAGGTCTCTTGAAAGGTAAGGTTCAAGTTTACAAGTCTGGCCTGCACTCAGTAACAAAAAGATTTGAGATGCAGGATTTTGCTTCTTGCTCAGAAAAACAAAAATCCATACTTCACACTTAACCAAAATCATTCTCCATTCATACCCAAGGAATCAGAGATATTATGCAGTTTAACGTACTAACTTCTCAACTTGTCATAAGCTTTTACCCCCTTTCTAATTCTATGAAAGTAGTGATGATTTTCAGCTTTTCTCAATTCTTCCTTTTGTAATGCTTGTGATGATTTCTGAATTGCTTCCGAATCAGTAGCCAGAAATCTGTCATTGATATTGACATGCACCCTACAAAGCCATCCACCTACCGGAGACTTCATGATTAAACCATTTGTGCACTTGCCTTTCATTCCAACCGTGTCCCGGTCTTTGGAGGCCACCTGACGATTAGATTGGGCTATAGGAGCTCAGGGCTCCAAATGCTTTCTCATCATTTGCACGCATGATCTTTGGGAACCAAGCCTTTTCCCTAAATGCCAGTCTTGACGAAAATGTTTTCTCTTTTTTCCAGTGATGCAGAAGACCACAAGCCTTTAAAAAAAGGCAGTCGAACACCTTCAGACAGGACTGTGAAAAAGGAAGATAGCGATGACAGCCTAGTTGACTATGGAGAGGGGGTGAATGGCCAGTTCAATGAGGACGGCTCCTTTATTGGACAGTACAGTGGTAAGAAAGAGAAGGAACCAGCCGAAGGAAACGAAAGCTCAGAGGCACCGTCTCCCGTCAACGCCATGAATTCCTTTGTTTAATCTGTGAGCTCTTTGCCAATATCCCACTTTTCTCAAATGTTTATCTTAAGTATTTGTCGGTCCGCCTTCTCATACTCTGAACATTGAGGCAGAAAGTCTGTGTTCTGCTGTGTGTTCACATGATGAGAGCCATCAAAGCAAGAACCTAACTCAGTCAAATGATATCTTAATGTGAACTGCAGTGCAAAGTGCATACTTTTGCATTCAACATAGGTTATCTTGATTTCCTGAGAACTGATAAAAAATAACATAGTGTCATCAACAGATCATGTTCTTCCCTCTTCGGGATACAGTTCACTAGGATGCATGAAAAATGCTACACCTTTAAAGAATATACCTGTGTATGTTATTCAAACATGGGTTGGTACTTTGTTTATACTCTCCTCCGCTGAACCCCTAAATATGAATTCCGTTTTCATTGTCAAGAGTGTTACTGTAGTATTCTCTAGAACTTCAGTGTCTTTGTGGACATTGTCGTGAAACTGGTGACTCTGTGTCTAGCTGTCATTAGTCTTTCGGGGAGACTGTTAGGCACAGTGTGTACAGTGTCTACTTGCTAAATGCGTTAATTATGACAGGTGCATTTGCTCATGCTTATGAGACTCTCTTACCTGCTCTTTGATCCTGTTACTCCACAGACTTCTTAATCGTCCAGGTATTACAGTGGCACAGTGTTCTACCTTTTACGTCCTCTCTCCTTTCAGTGCTTTTTAGGCATAAACAATGCGTATTGCAATGCGTCTTGGCATTTGTGGCAGACCGAGAGAATACCAAACAGATCACTCCAATTCAGTGTCAAAAGTTATTCCAGAAAGCACAGGGCAAGACACATGCAGTGCCTTCAGACGATAAGCGTTCCACAACGTACCGCCTTCTGTATCATTCGGTACAGTCGACTCGGAGTCCTAGATTACTATCATTGTCTAAAAGTAACTTTGAAAAAGCATAGTTCGTGAAAACTGCAACGCTGAAAAAAAAAAAGGAACTGTGAAAATAAAATTAGGAAGATAGTTTTTATTTTAAGGGGCATGATTTCCCCCATATAGTTTATTTTAAGGGGCATGATTTCCCCCATAGGTATAAAAAGAAAAGCTTTATCACCAACTGGAGCAAGTAATGATTTTGTGGTCTTCTATGGGTCCTATTAATACAAGTCACGTTCAGTAAGAAAGATGTCAACTTGGTAGGTAGAAAATTTTTTAAAAAACAAGTTATTCCAAAACTAACAGGATACAACAGCACACCAACAGGAATATATTTTCCTCTAAGTCTCCATGTATGTGGCAACTTTTGAAACTCTGCAGCGTTAAACAACGTGTATACAAATTGCATGGATGCCTTGCAGAATCTAAGAAGTCTGACAAGTGCTAACAAGGCCAACAGTCAAAGGGATTACATCTCCAGTTTCAAAAAGAAGCATATATATTCTATCATATTCATAAATAATATCTATCAAACGGTTTCCTTCCAAATATGAAAATCTATAACAACCTATGGTTGAAGGAATGCTCAGTTTCATTTGCCAATAAATTGGTTTCTCATAACTTGCATCAAGTTTAATTTTAAGTAAAGCTTTTTATATGTAGATATTTTGTTGAATCTGTAAATACACTTAAAGTGTAGATGCTATATGCTTATAGGTGTTACGTACAAATAAACAGGCCAGCGATGTTTATGTTGTACCGTATAAGATGTTAGCTAATTAATACAGTGCATGGGATTGGAAAGCATTTAATTAAATGCCTTTTGGGTTTTTATTTTCCCTTTTTGCTGTGAAACTGAAAGAGTGAACTATTTTCCACATTGACAGCAGGTTTCTAGAAGAAATCTTCAGAGCTTTGCCTAAGCACAGTTTGAAGTAATCCCAGGTAAAGATGGCCCTACCTAGTTTCATATCTCCGATATGCACTTTTCACAGATCAACCTTTCTAGTGGAAATCCAGAAAGACAAAACAGGCTGCCTTGGCATCCGAGAGCACAAAGATAAGTTACTTAAAATTTGCCAGTGTGTGCGGGGACAAGAAAAGTACAGTGTTTCCTCTTCCATAATGGTAGATGCTAAATTTGTGCATGAAGGGGTCATTTCTGTACTTGTGCAACAGAGTTTGTATTAAAAATTAAATGTGGTTTTAAAAGTCCCTCTCTCTTTTGTAATATATCATGTTCCTAGTGGAGTGTGAATGTCCAAGTAATGGTATATGTAACGGTATAGGCAGATGTGACTGGATTTCCGTCAAAAGAGTGACTATTAGGGCTTCCCTGGTGGTGCAGTGGTTGAGAGTCCGCCTGCCGATGCAGGGGACGCGGGTTCGTGCCCTGGTCTGGGAGGATCCCTACATGCCGCGGAGCGGCTGGGCCCGTGAGCCATGAGCCTGTGCTCCGCAACAGGAGAGGCCACAACAGTGAGAGGCCTGCGTACCGCAAAGAAAAAAAAAAAGTGACTATTAAACAGTCGTGATCTCTTTGTGATTTTTAACTTCTTTAAACCTAGATTTCCTAATGTTTTATTTTATTTTATTTTTCTATTGGCCGTGCTGCGGGGCTTGCGGAATCTTAGTTCCTTGACCAGGGATCGGGATCTTAGTTCCCCAACCAGGGATCGAACCCGGGCCCCTGGCAGTGGAAGTGCAGAGTCCTAACCACTGGACAGCCAGGGAAGTCCCTCCTAATGTTTTAAAATAGCGCAAATTTTGCTTTTTGCTTTTAAAAGGCAGAGGAAATTAAATGCAAAACTGGACGCAATATAAAAGAGAGCTAGTAAAAGAAGGGCATATCAAACATTGTAATGCAAAGGCGAAGTAGATATTACCAGCCTTTAGAGAAAGAGTCTGAGAAGTCAGGTGCTGCTTCCTTTCCTGAAGCCTGACCTCTGCAGGCCTGTTCCCTGGTGCCTTTGGTCACCCTCTCTTCTGCCCACCTGGACCTCCACTGTCCCCAGCCACGGCAACTGGATTCCTTAACCTCTCCTGCTTGATGACACAGTTTGGGCGTTGACGAGTATCACTCCCGGGTGTGTCATCCACCCGCTTCTCAACAGCCCAATTCTTCTCGTGTCTCACACCTGTCCAGCTCTGCAAACAGCCAAGACCTGGCTTGTTCCTCTGTTCCTCCACCTGCCCTTGGTCCCCTGGTCCCAGCTTTCCATCCACAAGACCTTCCGTTGGCACAGAGCTCCCTCTCGCTATACAGTTACTTGGATAACAACATGATATATATACATCATCGTAAGATGCTAATAGACCCTATGTAGACCTTGTTATTAGTCTTTTTACCGTGGAGAGCATTCACTTCTGACAGCAAGTCAGGGTCTCCAGTCTACACCGTGGGCCAGATTCACAATCTACATCCTCAGGCCACGTCATCAGTCACAGCTCTGTTTAGCAACGGGGGCTGGCCAGTTGTAAAGCCTGACGACAAAAAGCATTGGTCTGTTGATGCCTTCTTGTTCAGATGATTTATAATGGCCCTGGTTTCCTTTTTTTTTTTCATAAATTTCAAATTTTATTGAGGACCTACGATGTGAAAATTCTCCAGAGAAATGTAATTGATATTTCTGTATTTTAAAGCTTAATGATTAATTTTACTTTCATAACTTAAGTAATTTTAGCAAACTCTTATCATTCAGTTCCTTAAGATCTGTATTTATACAGTTGACTTTGCAGGGTGAAGAAGAGATTAGACAATTGATATAACCCAGTGTAACCTCGTTTACTTTTAGTGTCTGATAAAATGATTGGAAGTAGCTCGTGGAGGCAAAGGAAAGAAATGCAAAGAACTGAGAAGTCTCACCTGAACTGAGCAAATCTCTCCTGCTCATGAGATTTTTCTACAAATTACCACCAGAGGGCTCCCGTACTTTATTCAATGCAAAAGAAACTGCAGGAAAACGAAGCCTCTGGAGAAACAAGGCCAACCACCTTTGATAGACTGGGTCTGATCATGCAGAAAATGATTGCCTGCTGTAACCCGGGAAAATGCAGTTAGCAGCTTCCTCTGACGAGTTCACGACCTCCAGGGAGTACGTCTGTGTCACCTTGAGCCTTGTTAATCTCCTCCCTCGTATTGATTGTGGCTGGGTGGCTGACAGCCCATCAGCAGGGGCAGAAAGAGGAGTAGTGGGCCTCCTGGCTCCCCCTAGATACCCCCTCGCCTGCCAGGTGGTGGGGCTGAAGGAGGGGCCGGTCCCGAAAGGGGTCCCCCGTTTCTCCCGATCGTGCCATCTTGTCTGCCACCAGTGGTTGATGTCCTGTGGTTGGTTAGCACAAGAAGCACAGTTTAAGCACAGACAGCTTTTCTTTTTCACTTTAGAAAAAGCAGCAGAGGGAAAGAATACTCGCAGAGGATTTATATTAAAGAAACAAACAAGCAGACAGTTCCCAGGTTGAGGTAGAAAGAGACCAACGTTTACCTTCCAGCTCTGCCATCAACCTATTGTGGAACTGTGTACAAGTGAGCCCCCATCTCCCACCTCTCCAGCCCTCCGTTTCTTCAACTTTAAAATGACAGAAAGCAGATGACTTCTAACATCCCTTTCTGCTTAAATCCTGTGATTCTCAGTCATCGCCGCCGCCAAAAAAAAAAAAAAATGTTTGAGCACCTACGACCACCAGGCATTTTGCCGAGTGTGGAGGGTACAGATGAGCAAAACCAGATGTGGTTCCTGCTCTCACGGTGCCTGGAGTCTGGTGTGAGAAGACAGACATTAATCAGATAACCACGTGAATGACTGTGTAATTAATTCCACCAAGATAAGCGCTGCAAGGGGAAGGAACGCCGGTCCACGAGAGCAAGTGATGTTCAGAGCGGTGGGAGGCTTCCCTGAGGAGCTGGGAGCTGGGGGACAGTAGGACCTAGGGGAGACGTCAGGACAAAGCGGCTGCCCAGCAGAGGCCCGTGTGCCCAGAGCAGATGCAGGGGCCAGAGATCCTGGGCACCAAAGGATAGGTTTTTGTATTTATTCAAGGGGCAGTGGAAAGAGGGGAGTAATTGAAGGAGTTGAAGTAAAGCGTTACATGACCAGATCTGTCTGGGGAGGAGGCGGAATTGATAGGATTTAGTGCACACAATGGGCTGGAAAAGAGCCAGAGAGGCTGATAAAAGCCACTGGGAAGCTTCACAGTAGTTTAGATAAGAGATGATAGAGGTTGGATCCAGATCATATCACTGGAGATGGAGAGAAGCGGGTGGATTCTAAATATATTTAGGAAGGAAATTGATGGGAGTGATAGATCAGATAAGGGAGGTTGAGGGAAAGGGAGAGATCAAAGATGGCACTTAGATTTCTGACTTGTCTAACCTGACGTGAGGGTCACTTAGCTGGGAACATGAAGAGAGAACCAGATCTGGGGTAAGTTATGAGTTCAGGTTAATAAATGAGCAGTTTGAAAAGCCTCCGAGACATCCAAGTGGAAGTCACTAGTAGCAATTGGATATATGGGCTTAGTGCTCAAAAGAAACTTCTAAGGTGATGAATAGTGATTGAAGCCAAGAGGCACACAATGAGATTGCCTAGGGAGAAAATATAGACAAGAGGGCTGAGGATTACCTCCTATTAAGAAACTCCCTTAGGGATTGGATAGGAAGAGGCAGATGGACCTCTAAAGGAGACCAGTAAACAGGAGCCAGAGAAGCTGGGAAGAAATAAGGAGAGTGCGTTGTCTTGGAAGCCAGTGAGCGAGACCACTTCAAGAGCAGGGAGTGGTTTACAGTGTCACTTGTTGCCGAAAAGTGAAGCAAAATGAGGATCAGAAGATTTTTGGATTTGAAGATACGGAGGTCATCTGAGACCTTAGGAAAAGCCGTTGGGTGGAGTGTAGTGACAGACTGAAGACAGCTGAGGAGTGAGTACAAGGTGAGCAAGTGGAGACAGTGAGATTTGCCATCACCCACGTGGACAACCCATCCAGCCCCGGGCTCGCTTCTTCACGTCTGTGCCTCCATAATGATAAAATCTAAGCCTCCCGCTCTCTGCCCACAACCTC